AATAGGGCTTCAGAAAGGAGTCTTTAGGAGAAGCGAGTTTGTGTATTTAGCAAAGTATAAAGAAATTGGATTAGGATGAAAATAGCCTTTTCTAGAGTGACATCTAAGCTGCTCTCGTTTTGTGTGTTGATAAATAGAGATGTGATAATATTTTCATCTTACTGATTGTTGTTGGCCACTTATATCGGTTTTTTAGCTCTTGTATGATTTGGAAGGATATACAGGTAGCGTGAATAGCTCTATTTGTGAATTAGCTACTTTTCTTTAGTAGATTTTGTGGATGCATAGAAATAAGGTCCCCTAACGCTGCTTGGAAACTGTTTTTATTGCTTGGGTATTTAGCAATGGAAGTTATAGATATTCATGTTTGGGTGTCTCAAAAGAGAACCACGTTAGTTTGAGCATCAGTCACGATCTTAGGCTGTGAGTGAATGAAAGTTAAGGGATCTCCTTCGTCTTAACCCCATTTATGTTTTCCCCTATTTCACCTTCTGTGCTAAAGCTTTTCTTGCCCCAGCATTTATTAGGTTGTCTTCTTCTCTTGGATTCATTTGATTGCACTTTTATGCTTAATTTTTTATAGTCAGCAACATACTACTTGATATTATTTTATTTTTGTATATTCGGTATTCTTGAGCACGAACTTGAAATCTAACACTTAGCCCTTATGGATTTCGACCTTGTTATACTGCAATTAACGGAAATAGTGTACACTTGCACTTGCATTCACATAGGTTGTGGACACGCAGCAAATACCAAGGAAATATGTCAGCGATCCTAAATCCTTCAGTGCAAACATACTATCAAGAGTAGCCACAAGTTGATTCATTAGGGGACAATTATTTCCAGTCAACATGATATCATTGACATAAACAATGAGAAAGAGTACAGAGATACCATGATTTTATACGAATAAGGTGTGGACTTTTCTGTTTACAAAACCCCACAATAGAAGAGCCAACATCCAAGTGTTGTTCCATACCCGTCACGCTTCTTTCAACCCATAAATCGCCTTGTGAAGCTTAGACACATAATATGGAAAGTGAGCATCAACATAGCCAAGAGTCTGAGCCATATAAACATCTTCTTATAAAGTCTCATTGAGGAAAGTGTTCTTGAAGTCAAGCTACTGAAGGTCCCAATTGTATGAGACAACAATATTCATGACAATATGCATTATAGATGCTTTTATGACTGGACTGAATGTTTCGAAAAAATCTACACTCGGAGTTTGATGAAATCCTTTGGCAACAACCCAGCCTTGTGCCGCTGAATCGACCCACGAGAGTTCTGTTTGATTCAAAACATCCATTTACAACACCCACCAAATAATAAGAGGATGAAAGAATGAGGTCCCACGTGTTGTTTTGAAGAAGAGCATTATATTCACGATCCATGGCTATCTTCTGAACTGGAGTGGTGAGTGCATTGGTAACCTGCATAGGTTCAGTTAAAGCCTAATCGATGTTAGAAGTGGGGAGCCTTCAGTTTAAAAATGTCATCCTTAGCCTAGTTTACCAACGGATGATGATGTTAGAAGCAAAGGTCGAGACTGACGTTAGTGCAAGCGGCAATGCAAATGGTGGGGCCAGCAGTTGTGCAGGTGGCGAGACAGGCGGTGGTGCCGGTGGTGGGTAAGAACCAGTCAAATGAGAAGTTTGTGAAGATGGAGATGATACAAACGACGAGTTTGAATTTGAGGGATTATACATGAAAGGTGTAGGCACATGGGTAAGAGAATGTAGGGATAAGGGACGTTCACACGTGGATGAGTTTGGTAGGTTAGGCATATGGCAAGTATATGGGTTTTGGCTTGAAGACAAAGAAGTGGGATTAATGTTCTGGGATTAGGGTGGTAAGGGTTGGGCCAAAGACAGGGAGTTCATGGGCTGAAATAGTAAGTCTGTGCGAGGAGAGAACTATAAGGTTGGTTGGGATTAATGTATGTAGGTTAATTACAACACGAGCTGTATAGAACTTCAAACCCATATGAAAATGGAAATTCTGCTTCGTTTAATTATACTTTGCAAGATATCAAAGTTTTACCAATGGAATTGAGACATTTATGGTCTTTATGAATTGGGCTTCGAACAAAATAGATACATTTTTCATATCAAAATGAGAGTTTCTAGGAGTTAAACAAATAAATGTGAAACATGCACACCCAAATGTTCTTAAATCCGAGTAGTTCAACTGCATATGAAGTAATGACTCCAAAGGCAATTTGCGATGGAGTACAGATGACGGAAGCCAATTAATCAATAAATTTGATGTCTTAAAGGCCTCCCACCAGTAGCAAAGAGGCATTGATGTTTGAGCAAGTAAGATCAAGCCAGTTTCAACAATATGACAATGCTTCCTTTTGGCCCAACCATTTTTGGCAAAAGTGTAGGGATAGGAATGCCGAGGCTGAATACCCAACTGAGCAGACAATTGACGAACACGTTATCAGAATGCAAACTTATAATAGAGACTTAAACTAATTTCTAACCATTATCGTAAAATGATGAAAGGGAGTAACAGTGTCGCTTTTAAACTTTAGAGGATAAATCCAAACGAACATGCTAAAGTCATCCAAAAATGAACATAATATCTATAAACTTTTGTAGAAATGGGGCAATGTAGAATGAGAGCTAGGATTTGAAAACAAAAGAGCATGTGATTTGCCATACTTRCATGCATCACAAAAATTAAAATTCTCATTGTCCTTCACTAGTAGATTACAATCCTTAACAACAGAATTTAGAGTCCATAAAGCAGGGTGACGAGGTCTTCTATGCCAAACAACTTTAATCACAGCCACATTTACAACTGGTGTTGAGGTAGAGGATGGGAACATAATGCAAGCAACATCGTTATTAGTCAACTTCAAGTAATTTCCTGCTAAACTTGAACCATTAATAGTGTCATTGCAAGTTCGAGCTGATATAGTCCATCCTTAAAAGACCCCTTCAGAACCACCTTGCCCGTAGAAATGTTATTTACAACGTAACACATAACTAGCATGAAATTCACGATAGACAGTGTTATGAGTAAAAGATAGCAGGTGTAGATGAACTGAGTGGGCCAACCCACAAGTGGTGGGCTGAACCAAGCAGGGCTCGGTCCCGACCTCTGCTCTGTACCAAGCCGGGCTCAGCCCAAAGTCGAGCCCCATCCATTGTCTTCCAGCGGTTATTCCACAACTTAGGGTTGATGCTCCCCTTGCATGCAGGCCAACAAAATCCCAAACTTAGGGTTAGTTAATTGGGAAACCTTAGGGGATTATTCGACTATAAATAGGGAAGGGACCACTTCTTAAAGGTAAGCCAGAACTACACTTTCAAGTGTCTTACTTGTTTAGTGGTCTTTCCTTTTGCTAACTTACGCATCGAAACCAGTGTGACTTCAGTCACACCGAGTTAGGGTTTTGTTCCGTAGTATTCGAGTTGGTACGCGGAGTGGAGAGAACTGGACTACCAGATTCCCAGCATCAACAGTCAGAATTATCTTCGGCAAGCTTGAAAACACTTATAAGATTCTTTGCCATATCAGACACACATAGAACGTTTTTAAGATGTGAAGGTAAAAAGGAAGATCCAATATGAGAAATAAATAGCTTATTACCATTACCAACCATTACTTTATCCTTACCACCATATTCAGAAAGATGAATCACGTTGTTGTAATCAGCAATAACGTGGTTTGAAGCTCCACTTTTAATATAAAAGTTGTGATCAACAACCAATTCAGTACTAGCAACAACTGATTACCTTTTTGTATGGCTAAAAAAGTTTGAGTAGTTGCTGGAGCTACACTCCTTAAATAAATTGCTTTCCAAAACGAGGATGGCACCCAAGCGTAGTGTGTTCTATTCTGCCACAAACCTGACAAACATGTCGATTGTTTGTGTTTGCTTCCAACTACCATATCTTTCTTCTTTGTCCTCTTCCTCTCTGACTATATTCTCATATTGTTTGTCGACTATTAAACTGGTTTTGATGTCATTAACAACCAGAGTTGTTGCCTTTACTAGTTAACATGTTCACATAAGCAGGACTAGCAGTGTTAATGGAGGTGGTGGATTTTAATGAATTCTGTTATTCAAGATGCTTTTCAAAACTCAGCAACTCAGTTTGCGTTTCTAGTCATGTTATGCCTACTATTCCTTGAATCACAACTACTATTGGATTATACTCTTCATCTAGTCCCGAAAGAACTTGAGAAATCAAAGAACATGGAGAGACAAGGCTACCTCCTTGTCCTAGGTTATCTGCATGAGTCTTAATAACATATAAATAATCAGTCATTTTAAGTGAACCCTTTCAGGTTTATTGAAATACCCGACGAAGATAATCTTTTTCGACCCGAGATTGAATACCAAATAGTTTTTTAATGGCAACCCAGAGATCTTTGGTGTTTTCATGTCCCATAACTTGAGTGGCAACTTTATGAGTCATGGAATTATACAGCCACCCAAGTAGAAGTTCATCGATTGCCAACTAGGCTTCATATTGGGGATTGAGTGCTAGTCCGTGAGATGAGCTCACTGTTGCAGGTGAAATTTTAATGGAAGGAGGAGCTTGTACGGTTGGAACCGGTCAAGGAGCAGGTGAATTTGTGCCTTGTGCTACCAGTGTTGGTGCCATTTCTATGAACACGGAGTTCTGCAAAAATTTGGGTGAGCAAGGTTTCCGAGAGGAAGCATTTATTACCCAAGAGTCACGACCCTTTGGCTGCCCTATTGCATTCCACGTGGAAATGAACCCAAATGTTCAAGGATATTCTTTGAGGTCCCAAATACCCAAAGCTACCCGTGAGACCTAAATTAGAAAGAGAATTTTGGAACATATAGAGACATCCGATCCATCATGCAACCCTTCTATTTTTACGTAGTTAGTCAAACTTTCCACAGCATGGTCTATTAATCATAAACTATTTATTTATTTTCTGAAAAAAAAAATTTTTTTTAACACACATTTTTAATCCAACCCTTTGGAAAATGTCACAAGTTGGTAGGTTTACTTCTGTGAAACACCAATCTTAGATGATATTTCATTGAAGTCGACAACATGAGAGCAAGGATTTTCCCATTGAATCAGTTCTCTAGTTGCCTCTCCAATCTCGTCTATCTCTCTCATCAAATTGCTTAAGCAAAATGCCAAAGCCCTCAGACTAAGAATTGCTTCCCTTTTACCATCTTCACCAGCACCTCTCTGATCAACAATAACCTCTGCCGAGTGTTGCAGAAAACAAACAATCAAATTTTCCTTCTCCATTATTTCATCTTTTCCAATCTTCTGTGGCTCTCCCATCTCAACATCGCCACAAATATCATTCTTCTCGCCCTCCTTTTCAAGCACTCTCAGAGATTTCAACGAACTCACATCCGCATAACATGTCACCGACACATTCACTACTTCCTTAAATTTCTCGAGCCCTCCGTCTAAAGTTTCCACAAGTTTTCCCCACGAATCCTCCGTTGTCATTGATAGATTCTGCTTAAGACCATCCATTGCCTCTGTACTCAGAGCCAAGAAATCGACGATTTTCGACAATGAATCGAACAGCTTCCCATAGCAACTGCTCTGAAACGGCAAAAACCACAAGTTGGGCTCCGCCTCAGCCTCGTCGATGAGCTTCTTCAGCTCACAAACTTGAATCCCCAAAGCTCTCAAATCTTCAACACTTGATCCAAAACTGAGTGGGCGGATGCAGTTTTGCAGCGCTCGTAGAGTGGCAGTGAGCTGAATTTTGGCCAGTTTAGAAGCTCTAGTTGGCTGAAAAATGACATCCGCAGCGATGGAAATTGATAGCCCAATAAAAGTTTCCACCATCCTCACAAAAGCAAATTCTGTTGGAGAACCATAATTTGTTCTTCCCAAAACAACCAAAGCTCCGACAACCGCGGAAACTCCGCCGGCGGAACCGTACATGGTACTGTGTCGGAGAAACGTGGTGAAAACGAACCAAGGAAGAAGACAAAGAAGCCTTCCGGCCAAACAACCTGGGAAAACGACAAAACTCAAAACTCCATACACAGATCCTAACATTGTCCCATGAACCTTAACGTTGGCGGCTCTGAATGTGGGCTCTCTGTCGGAAGTGAAGCTGATGGCCACTGCAAGGCTCGCCCAGAACCCGTTTTCGTCACTGTACATTAACCCCAAAAACACCGCAGCGCCCAATGAAACTGCGAGTTTCAGCGCTGCCATTATTAGCCTCTCCCTCCAATAATTTGCGTGAACTTGTTGTTCTAATTTGGTGGGGCGTTTGAGTTGGCATTTACTGTGGAGGAGTTTGAGGCAGAATGTGAAGAAATTATGATGCGTTGGCATGATCTGAACGGCGTTGATTGGATCATCAGACGGCAAAGAAGCATTGTTGGCTTGGTTTAAGGCAAGGGCGACGTGCTTCTCCAATGCATTTATATCGTCATCTCTCATCGCTAGTTCGTTTTGAAATTGATACCAGGGAGAAGGAGGAGTGGCAGTGGACGACAATGCTAGTTCCATTCCCCTTAAGCCCATTCCTAAATCTTGCAAACTCTCGTCATTCCTCGACCATCTCATTCCACAAATTTTTAATGGAAGCCTCTCCCATTGCATGCTTTCCTGTCAATGTAAAAGAAAATATTTAAATCCTGACCTGTGATGACTGCTGTACAAATAGAGAATGTAGTTAACGTAGAGATAATTCTTCACGAGTCATAAAAAAATATTTTTCCAATTTATATACTCCTAAAAAAATTCTATTATTTCCTTACACATCAAACAAGATTAAAAACTAGCTTCGATTACATTGTTAGTCATATCTATTATTCTAGCATAATTAGTGTTTGATTCGGGAAGGTCAAGATTGATTTTAATTGCTTTTAATTTTATGTTTAATAAGTCCTTCAACTTTCAATTTTGTGTTCCTTCAATTTTCAATTTTATATTTAATTGATCTGTAAATTAAAAAAAATGTTGAATATGTTAGATTCCATCCGATGCCAAAATGAAACGTACAAAATTTAAGGTTTAGGTAGTGTGAGATACTTTTTCAATTCAGGTTGTAGATATAATATGGAAAATTTAGAAATTTATTGCATACTTTTTTTATGTTTCAAGACCCTATTAGAAGAAGTATAAAAGTTTAGGCACCAAACTCATCATTTAATTAACTTTTTTGTTTATTATTTTTTTAGTACAAGTGGGGTGAGAGATTCGAACTCATGACCTCTTGATAAAAATAGATGTCAATCACACTCATGTTGGCAAGTTTTCTTTAACTTTATATACATCCCTATTATTAATGAAGAATAACCAAATTAATTAACACGAAAAATTATCTGTAAATACCAAATGTAAACTCTACAATAATATAACCTTTTATTTTTTAGGGTTTGATAAGTTGTAGTTAAATAAACATGAATTTATGTGACATTGTGAATTCAAAAGCAAATATAGGGGTAGGAGTACAAATCCAACTTTTAAAATGATAATAGAAACCTAATTAATTTTACCAGAAATTATTCAACCTTTGCAAGATAACTAATTTTTCTTCAAAAAAAAAAGAGAAAAAAAAAGTGTTCCTCATAAATTTTGTAATAGTTTATTTAAATTAGCAGAATAGAAATAAAGTGGAGTGGTTACTTGGTAATGTTTTATGGAGTGGAGGAGTTTTGGTGCTGAAGAAGACAATAACTGAGCTTTGGATATGGAGGCAGCAGCCACCCTGTCGTCGTCGGTGAGGAATGCTTTCACCAATAGCTTTAATCTCTCCCCCGCGTTCTCCACCACTGCCTTCCTCTTATCTCTCACCTTCACCATATAACATTATTTTTGTGTTTTTTCACTTTTTTTTTCGGCCAAAAAATGGAAACTAATAAAAATTAATTAATAACCTGAAGAGAAGCAAGGCGTGGGAAGGGAAGCAGCGTGGCACAGACACTGGCGGTGGCGCCCATGGCCGTCGTGGCTGCCACGTGGATTGGGTGCATTAGAGGGTCCGTGTGGGGTCCTCCGATGAAGCCCACGACGTAAATGATCACAATCTGGCCCAGAGCAATCCTTTTGGCCAGCAATTGGGTGGACCTCTGCAGCACCACCACCACTGAGGCCAACGCCACCGTGAGTGCCGTCGTGACGGGTGAGAATTTGGTTGGCCCGATGAACCAAAACACGAGCATGGCTGGACACACGGTCTGGAGCGTGGCGAAGAGTGCGAGGCAGGAGCCACAGATGGCGTCGCCGAGAGTGGCGTTGGTGACGATGAGGATAGCGGTGAGATAGGAGAAGGCCGGAAAGGCCACTTGGTGGCGGAGAGAAGCCGGGCCGTACAAAGTGGCACAGGCCACTATGGAGCAGGCCAGTGCAGTCCGAAAGGCAGAGGCCAGGCGCGTGACCCACAAGGCTCGGCCTTGCCTAGATTGGTCACTCATGATGGTGGCCGTTACTAAGTGAAAAGTGAGTAGAGAGTGTTGTAATTTCAAGAATAATATTGATGGTATGGTTTCTAAGTGTTTAAGTAACGGAAGAAACGAATTAGAAATTAGAATTCTTAGTGGACTTTGGAATCCTTGGACCCTACATGTGCTTACAAATGAGAACATATCTCTATCTCGAACTTCCTAATCACCATTAAAAATTTGTCATTCAGATCGTTTTTTTTTTCTTTCTTTTTTAATTATCTATTTTTACCTTGTTTCTTAGTTGTTAAAAATTCAACTGTGGTCAAAATATAATAGATCCTCATCGATCAGGAAAAATATTTTCTTTTAGCTTATATAAGTTTCTAATTTCCATGAATGTGATCAATATTGCAACCGCATACACCTCTCAATATTATATATGTACTTGTTTATTGTCCTTTTCTTATCCCCATTTCCATGTTATTACACATTGCAAAGCACATCAAAAAATTCTTCTCCTCTCTCTCTCTATATGTTTTGTATATGTATATATTGCTTTACCTAACTGACAAATTAAAATAGTCATGATTTGATTTTTGATTACGCAATGAATACTTTCTGTTTTTATAACATAATGAATACTTTCCCGACATCATGTTTTACTTGTTTTTTATTTATTTATCGATTAAGGTTCTAAGTTTTTTTTTTTGTTTTAAATGATAGACAGCTAGAGCAATGGGTCGTCTATCCGTTCGGTAAAATGAATGGTCTCTCTTGACCGGTTTAGTAATATTTTCGTTACCTATTTTATGTTCATACAGTGCGCTCGACCTTTCCCTTCCGATGTGCTATGCCCACCTTCTTTTCGAGTTGATGAAGTTCGACACATCCTCGTAAGATAAGCATTCTACATGCCGTCCGGTGGCTTCCCCTCAACATCAACAATATATAAATCTTCACATATTTTGTTCCCTTCTCAAGAAATTGCGATGAGAAGCTATAGTATTTTGTTGAACAAATTACATTCACTACTAAAATGAATTCTAGATCTTTATCCTCTAACATGTAAACAATCCCAGTAAAATATTAACTAATTAGAGCATAAAATATGAATATTTTTTATACTATTAATCAATAAAAATTATTGGATTACTTGCATAATCTACAAAGTGTAATTTGTTGGATTTTGGCAAAATATATTAGAAATGCAATTGTTCCACATTGGAAAAGTACAAGGACGGACGGAGTGTGCTCCAAGTGCAATAAAATGAGCAATTTGGGTTATATTAATCCCAATTGAGATCCTATAAACTTGGTATACTAGCTAGCTCTAGTTAAGTGAAAGGTATTTGCTTTGAGAGAGAGTGTTTTGGGTATTTGGGTCGAGTAGAGAAATCTGTATGATTGTAATAATTTTTCGGATAGTGGGTTTTCTTCTATGGGCCATGATTTTTTCTATGGAGTTTTCCACGTTAATTTTCCTATTTTCTTTATTGCTGTTGTTTCTTTTAATTTCTCGGTTATTATCTTCTTATTCATGTTGTAGAAATTGAAGGTTCTTCCTATCAAGTGCTATTAGAGCTTTAGAAGGTCTCATTACTTTCTTCCTTGAAGTATAGGGCTGGTTTGGTTAATTAAACTTATTAAGTCAAATATTGTAAAGTATTTTGATAACTTATATCATGGGTTCAACGTCTCGGTTTTTCAATGTTATTTAGGTGAGGAGAATCGTGTCTTTCTTGATCTTACTTTAGTGTTCTTATGAATAGTAACAATCGACAAAACTGCTAAAATTTTTGCAAAAACTACATGAAAGGCATACTGCAAGGCTGCTCGCTCCCGTGTTAATGAACATCTTTTTGCACCAATTGGATATGGAAATAAATTCTCTAGTTGTAGTATTGTCTGAACTTCCACATCAGAAAGATTTCTTGAAACGAGCTATGGTTCTTTGAATAGTGTTGATTGTTCACTATTTGTAGATTCGCTAGGAATGTGAAGCAGATATGTCATATTTACGAGTCTAGTGAAGATTGACATGGAGAAATTTGACAGAATGATCAACTTCGGCTTATATCAATGAGAAGTCAAGGATGTGTTGATATAATCTAGGTTACACAAGGTGTTGAAAGGAAGACTGGGTGATGGTGCTTCTGAAAAGCTAAGCAGTGATGGTGGTTAAGTGGAGGAATAGAGGTTCTAAGAAGTCTAACATGAATGACAAAATTGTGAGGAGATGGATTTGAGGGCTGCAATTGCGATACAAACAGGTTTGACTAAGAACATCCTTGCAAATGTGCATGAAATTTCGATAGCCAAAGAAGTTTGGGAGAAGCTGGAAGCGTTGTATCACACAAAGGGCAGTTCAAATCAGTTGTACCTGAAGAAGCAGTTTTACACGTTATGAATGAAGGAGGATACAAAAATTTCAGATCATCTGAATAATATCAATAGCAACATCTTTGGGCTGGGGGAGATTCGAGTCAAGATAGATAACGAAGAAAAGATACTCATACTTATTTTGTCATTTCACCTTCTTATATGAACACATGAAGTCAATCTTGGTGTACGGGAAGGATAAACTATTGTCGGAGAAAGAAGGTTGAAGAGTGAAGGGTGTACTTCACATGAAGAGCCAACACTTGTAGCTAGTAAATAGAAGAAGAAAAAAACTTCGTGCAAAATAAAAATTTTTGGAAATGCGGACAGTCTAGGCACATGAAGAAAATTGTCGAAAAAGAGTCGATTCGTCAAAGAGCTCTAGGCCGGATGCTGATATTGTTTCTCCCATTAGAGGAGATGATGATCAGTTCCTCTGAAGAGAGATAGAATTTATCATCAAGGTATGTCGACTTTGTTGGGTGTGTTACCCTAAACTTGTAGTTTGTATTTATGTTAAAACAAATTTATATTCAATAAATTTGTTGTTGAATTAATAGCATTGCATTTTCCAAATCCAATAAACTAAATATCCAAGGTTATTATCATGTAACCGAGACATTATATATACTGGGTATATATTTGGTATATCCTCGATATATAAGTGGATAATGTCTCGGGAATAACCTAAAGGGTCTATAGTATATAGACAAGGCTGGGTACCTTATTCTAGCGACACTATGGATACGACCCGCATTGTAAATGTTACAGATGACCCAATCTAGGTCGTTCGTGTGGAGACATGCGAGTGGGGGTATCCTATATAATGAGTTTGTATAAGATCGGACAACGAAATAGTCAATCTTTAGATGTAACATCGTTGACTAAAATATTGCTATTTCATAGGAGGACCAGACAACTCATTCTCTATCCTAAGTGAGTTATGGACTCCTGTCCGTGAGGGCTTGTCCTTTGATCAGTATGCGTGAAAGTGGTCCGAGTCACCAACTCAACATTCCTACCATTTTGGGGATAAGACCGAGTGGGGAGCTAGGAACATAACTTCACAAGATGAAATTCACTCCTCCCCATGATTAGATGAGTGTTCTCTTAAATTCTGACTCTAAGACTTGAACAAGGGGCCCCACCCTCTCACTAACCCGAGAGGGGCTTCCGGTTATTGGTTGGACAATAACCGGGTTGTTCATTAGAGGAGCAGTGATATTTAAGGAGTAAGATGTGACTCAGGGGTATAACAGTAATTCGACCCAACTAGAGTTACACGCACTCGTGAAGGATTGACTTGCTATTAATGGTCGTATATCCGTGGACACGAAAATATTCCGCAGTGAGAAGAGTGCAGTTGCGGGTCTTTTGTGGAGTCACCAGTAGTTAACAAATGATGATTAACTCGGTTAATGAGCTTGACCGATTAATCTTCTATCATTGGAGCTTTTGATGTGTAGGTTCATTAGGTCTGCTTACTAGCTCACAACGGGTAAAACCAGGATCAAATCTCTTTGGAAGAATTTCAAATGTTCAAATTGCTCAAGGGATTATATGTATATTGATACGTTATAATATATGGTTAATTCTAAATTGAAACTATATATTATGAGAGAAATCATTTGAATGAGATTCCAATAAAAATCAATATGAATAGGATTCGTATTAAAAATATAGGTTAAAAATAATGTGCATTAGATGTACATTACAACTATAGGTTATACGAAAGAAATGCTTTAGAATATGATTCTATTTTGACAATATATGATTAAGTATTAATGATTTATTTAATATATATATATATATATATATATATATAACTATATTAATAATTAATTAATCAATACGGTTAGAGCAGCATATGATCCATCAGTGGTAGAGCCAGATGTAGTAGTTCCTATGGTTTACCCTAAATAAGTAGCGCTGCTGGATGCTCCGATCGGAAAAAAAAATCAGTGGGGCCAGCTTCGCAGTAGCAAAGACTTTTTCTTCTCCAGCATATTATGTCGCTGGACTGGTGACCTAAAGGCCTGAATAAGTCAGGTCAAGGGGTGGCACTCTTCTTTAGAAAGAGGAGTTGTTTGCCCGAGATATCTTAAAGTAAAGCTCTCTAGGCTTCCCTTATCTATACAGATAGAATAGATCTTTTCTCGCGCAGGTCGTCTTGCCCTCATCGCCCTTGACGATCCATACTTGGTAGTACTTCGGTCGTCAGTCTGTAGACAAAGTCAAAGCGCTTGATCCTTTGCCCCATACTTTGAGATAGATTAATTAATTATATATTATTATTAATATTAATTAATATTAATATAACACACTCCCTTGTTTAATTGCAGGGGAGTGAGAGGGCAGTTATGACATGAGGAGTTACTCAACGTCATCCTTGTTTTTGGTTTTAACACAACAGTTCTGTAAAACAGAAAAAATTGGTGTGTGTCTCCCTGCATTTCTTTCTTTTGGAAAAACTCACGCAAAATTCCTTTTGGCTTCCAAATAGGTGCTTCCACAAGCAAATTCTCATTCTCAGAGGATAGCCGGGAAGACCTGTAACAACCCAGAATTTCCCGCACACTTCTAGGTCACATTCACTACCCAACTAATTAAATTTAACCCCAACTACGTCCTGCCAACTCCCTATGCAAACA